AGAACTGTTTATGTCCTCGTCATCACAAAACAAACTATCCAGAGAATCTGATGATTCTGCTCTAGGAGGATCCTGTTAAACACGCAAACCACAATCAATTCTGGTTATTCTGAGGCAAATCAGGAACTGAGTGGCACAACATTCTGCATCCATGATTAGCACAATTAGTGAAGTGAAACTTCATTTCTATTGAACACATCGAATCTACTACCTTTTGTTTCTAATGTCAAACCTAACAGAACAAGAAACTTAAATAGAGGAAAATGGAAGAAACTCAAGAAAATCATCCAACTATGTGAAGCAGAAGCTGTCCTATGAAAACATGAAAAGAAGTTGTACAGATGCATAAAATAACTCAATACCAAAAGCAAAGAACCTCAAACTATAGAAATTATAGAAAATAGCAGGAGCTAAGCTAAGTTTGACTCAGGGTGGTGTCTTTAAGAGAAAAAACTGAAAAGTGAACCATTTATTTGCTTGGTGAACATGTGGTACAAGTTACAACAGAAATACTTTTATCGTCTTTGTTTTTTGACAAACTAAAGTAGAGAGCTGAGAAAAATTGCATTGAAAAGACAAAAAGTAGGTCCTTCTTAGTGTGTATATATCTTGAACTTTTAAAGATTGGACAGCATTATGGGGAAAACCAAAGGGAAAGATACATATTTGATAAGGGAGATAGACCAACATACCTAATTTTTTTCGTTTATGATCTGCAAAACAATTGCATTGTAGATAACCTAAAACTCAGAAATATTGCTGACATTTTGCGGAAGTACTGCTCACTTTACCATAAGCAAACATTTGTAGAGGGGCACTTAATAGCTACCTAACTAGATGATGAGGACCCAAGAAGTAGTGATTTTACTTTTCTAACTTTTTTTTCTTGATGACAAGGGCAGCCGTTACCTTTTGTGTGTGCTTATTTATCTAACTTCTTAATAGATTAAGTTATCGTTCATTCATTAAGTTATCGTTCATTCTTTTCCAGGAAATAAACACCGAAAAGAGAAATTGTGATAAGAAGTTTAAAGTTGCCAGCGGTTAAAAGGTCTTGAGGGTGCTAAATAGACAAAGAGGAGCAACACTTTGCATCAACACGTTATTTCAGGCAAGAAACGAGCAGAATCAAATAAGTACCATACATTATAAATAGTTACTTACAGATTTTGCAAAAAGAGTCTCCAGTAACAAGTCAATGTTGTCTTCACCTAGATTGAAAAGAAAATATCCCTTCAAAAATTATCGAACTGTAATAACAACCAAAACTTTTGAAGAAAATCTATGAGTTGGTCTTCTTTTCTTTTTTCTTTTTTAAGGTGGTATACTTGGTGCTAATTCTCCAAAATTCAGTAGAAAACTATTTGCCAACACAATCTCGTAATAGATTAAAACAGAAGTTACTGCTCACTACATACCCTTTTCCTCAATTGCTTTATCAACAAGTGATGCCTTAAAACCCATGGTCAGAAGAGATGACCTCACATTGCTGCCTGATGAGCTTGCAATATTGTCCTACAGATGCATTAGCGTCACAAAAAATGATGATTACAGAGGTGATGAATATTAATGCTACCACCTGACAGTAAAACCATATTACCAAGGAGTTGAAAACTCAGCTAAATGCATTTTTCTTTCCTTACCCCCATAGGCATTGTATATGTGTACAGAGATGGAAATTCGGAATATGGATCTTCAACTTTAGGCATGATTCCACTCACACCTTCAGGCTTTGAAGAGTTTTCACTATCTGGATATTCACGCTAGAGTAAAACAAAGAATAATTAAGAATGAAGCAACATAATAGCATCAGACATATTAAAATTTTCATATGTATACCATTTTAATGTGAAATTGGACAGGGCGAAGCTAGAGAATTGTCTCTTATGTGCCACAGCAAAAGCATAAAACAGTGCTTTCCTTGAGCCTGTTGCAGCATGGAAAAGTAATATCGATAAATAGAAACACAGGGATAGAGAATCAGCATATCATCCTGCAACCAAAAATTACTGAATCGCTCAAAGCAAACATTATAAGGATCATATAGCGAACCCCGACTTACATAGGCTCAAGGTGTAGTCCTTATTGTATTCAAAGCAAACACTGAACCCCAACTTACTTATGCTTGAGGTGTAGTCCTTGCTGTATTCAAAGCAAACACTACAGCCCAGATTTATAGAGCAAATTGGAAAAAGCTATTTTTAATTTATAAAACAAATTAAACTCTATTCTTAACTAAATCTTCACTGGAAAATCGTAAAGCTATTCTATGTGGAATAATACCAAAATATCAAGCTAGTGCATTTGTCTTTTCATTATTTCAATACCCAAAACCACTTTTTGTACAACCCAGTACACTCATATCTCAATTAGGAGTGATTATATGAACTAATCATTCTAGTCCAAATCAATTCCAACCAAGTAAACATTTTAACAAGAAAGATCTTATAATTTCACTTAAAATTAGCAGTAATTAAGCACTAAATGTGCCAATGCAACCAATTCACCTAATCCAGTAGAAAACAAAAGGCCTAAATTTTCCACTACCTGCATTTCAATTTTGAAATTTTACAGAGACATAAAACTAACAGCTCAAGTAAACTCATGAGTTTTCAATATTTTCCCCAAAAAAACAACTCCAATTCATACATGTTCTTCGTGTACAGAAATGCATGAAATTTGAAGAAATTAAACGAAAAATTGAGCATACACTAACTTCACCGGCGGGGAGAAGAGAAACGGAAGCTGACCTTTAACTGCGGCGAAAACTGATCGGAGCTCAGATGAAATTCAGGCTGAGAGAGCTTAATTCAGCTGATGAAAACAAAATATAAGAGTTCTTCAGCTCTTTTTTCGGTTACAACATATTTTTGACCCATTTCCCCAAACGGGTCACTACTTGATACTACAAGAGGAAGATCAACGGCTGAGATTAACTTGGGATCAACGTAAACGGATCGATCATTGATGTCTCCGTCTTTATTGTGATTTCTAAATATTAAATCAAATTATTTATTTTTATTGATTATACAATAATTAGATATTTAATTTTATTTATATATTTTTTTTTAAAAAAATACTTTATTTATTTTAATATTTATTTAATGGGAAACCCCTCAATTTTGTCGGTCGTTATAAAAGTGGCTTATATATGCCCTTACCGTTATACAAACGGCTCACATATACCCCTACCGTTATAAAATGGCTCACATATACCCTTCATTTAAAGGATATTAAAAAATTAGTTTTAAATTTATATTTGTTACTTCTAATTTTTTAAAAAAATTATTTAGGGGTATATATGATTCTTTTATCAAAGTTAAAGGTATATTTTAATTTTTTTCATACATAAATTATTTTTTGACTTCTTTTATTATAATTATTTGAGTTTCTTATTCTTATTTTGTTTTTCCTTTCATTTCTTAGTTTAAAGAAAAAAAATTTAAACTATTTTTTTTGTGTGTATTGTAATTTAATTTCGTATTCGAAGAAAAAATTTGGTCATCTATAATAAGTTTTACAAAAATATTAGTGAAACATAAATAAATTTAATTATCAAAATAATAATTATAAATTAGTCATTAAAACAAAAAAAATATGTTTGACAAGGATTAAATTTACTATATGAGGAAAAGGGTATATGTGGGTCATTTGTTTACAAGTAGGGGTATATATGAGTCACTTTTATAACAAAGGATATATCAGCTGTAAATCATAAAGTTGAAGGGTATCTTGCCCTTTTCCCTTTTAAGAAAAGTATTATAGTTGAATGGATTAATATATTTACTTTTTAATGAATAAATAAGGATAAAAGATTTTTAAATTGTCTTATAAATAGTTCCTTATGAATATGTTGAAAAATACAATAAAATAACTTTAAAATGAAAAGATATAATATATTTCACAATTATTGTATTGATAAAATTTGTTTTTGTCTCACAATTTAGTGAAGGTAATCATACCCTTTTAGATTCACAAACTTTTCATCCACTAATTTGCAATTAGTATCTCATTTATATAAGGCACAAAAAGTTTTTTTTTTTACCATTACGTTATAGTATATAATAATTATGCACGTGAGGGTTGTTTGGCAGTAAAGAAAATATTTTTAAAGAAGTAAACAATTTTCTTACTCCTCTTTGTATTTGACAAGTAATCAAAATATTTACATTCTAATAAAAATAATATGTTCGGAGCATAACTTATGAATGGAATTTAAGAGTGTAAAATATATTTAAATCTTACTTTTACTATTCAAAAGCATAGAAATTATGTCTGAAAAAATCTTCGACACAAATAACACATATCAAAGCAAATTAAAAAGGAGAAACTAAGTAATAAATATAACACAATAATATTGAAGGCATTCTAAAGCATATAGAGAAAAGAACAATAACCACAACAAAACAAAAGAATAGTCAACGTGCAATAAACTACATGTAGCAGCAAAAATCGAGGGAGAAAAAACTATGAAAATAATGTTAATATTATTGGAATGAAAGGAGAATAAGACGATACTTAACTATCTACTAATCCGATCTCCATAACTTTTTATCTAAGGCTATGTCCTCAATAAGCTAGAAATATGTCATATGTACGACTGACCTCTACTTTCTTCTAAAGCTCACCATAATCAACCTCACACAGTGACATAGATCATCACTAGGACATCGACATCCATTCTCTTCACATGATTGAATTATTTCAGTTTCGCTCCTCTCATTTAATCTACAATAAAATTCATCCCTACCTTGTCTCAAATATCTTCATTTCTAATCTTATCTCTTCTAGTATACCGACATATCATCTTCATGAGAGTCCTTAACTGATCATTTAAATATATATATTCCGCTTTACCAAACACAACCTTATTAATATTTTCTTGCTAATCCTTCCTTGTCAAATTTAACACTCCAACCTAATTTGATATTTCTTAAAAGCTCTTCTAAAATACATGTTTAATCATATGGCATACATATAAATATCAGTAACTTTAATCATTTCATGATCAATATATTATAAACAACTTATATTGATGATAATGTTCCATATCACACAGGTATGTGAACATGAGCTATAGGACTTGAACAATCCTCCTAGGTATGTGAACATGAGCTATAGGACTTGAACAATCCTCCTTACTTTAGCTGGCGGTTGAAGCTTATTTGGTTTTCATAAATAAGTATATCTATAAGCAAATAAATGCTGTAAGCATTGCCAAAGCAACTATAGATTCAATGTTCATTACAAAATCAACTTGTTTAATCTCTATATCCAGATTTGACTTCTAAATCTCAGATTTGGATTCTACTTCTCCCCTAATAGTTTCCAGTGTTTTCTTTCCTGCCAGATCTTCGAGTGTAAAACCTAAAGTATCAACACAGCCCTTTTTCACTTCCTCCCCGCGAGCAGCGAGGAAGTCTTCCACGCTACCAGGCTCACCAAACCACCCGAGACGATCAGCAATAAGGTGTATGTTTTTACAACCATCACATCTAGCCACCACAACACCTTTCTCGTATGACTCGCGACAAACTGTTTTCATGGTTCTGGTTTCACATACTGTGCAAGTGAAGATCATCATCAGGTCATGTCTTGGGGAGGTTTTAAGATTAGATTGCACAGTGTACTTGTATGTGGTCTCTTTCTTGATACTAGAAACAACTGCAGCAGCAGAATCGGTATTAGTATCTGGATCACAGTTTTTATTAGTTTCCCCTACTTCAACAGCCTGCTTGGTGATTCCTGCAACTGTTTGAAGACACCGTCTTGAAAATATATCGTTCATGCCAAAAGATGACCTTGAAGGAGAAACAGAACTCCATGGTAATCCTGGAAAAAGTAAGAAACGCGGTAGAATCATAGGAACAAGTTCTTCACAAAAGACAGGTGGAGACGCACAACGCAGAGTATTTATACTAATATTATAACAAAAACATCAAAAGGAAATTACACACAGCTGAGAATAACAAAACATATTATTTGAATTGTCAATTGCTTCTAAAATAAGAGAAGTTTGTCCGAAAGCCACCCTTCATTTTGAGTATTTGAATCCCATTCCATGATTTGAGACTTCCTTCAAGTCCATATAGTATTTTGAGACCTGCTGGATGTTAGGGATTTGAGGAGCTCAGGTGATTTTGAGGCAAGATCTCACATTTAAGCATGTTGCAGATTTTACTTTTTCTGGTGCAGCTGCGTTTCCAAGAGGGACCTCGTAATTGCGGACTTAGCCACTTGAGGGCCAGTGGCTTAGGTAAGAAGTGGTTGTTATTAAGGATTCTCAACATTCCAACACAGTTTTGGGAGACCGAAGTTATGGACAGGAAAGAGAATTGGCTAAGGAATGTCATATAACGTTGAGGAGACGATTATACGCTAACTTTAGCATCTAAATCATGGATTATGGGTAGAAATTGGATGATTTTGCCCTAGGTTTAAGGGAGGGGTAAATTGGGATTTGAATATCGATTCGAGGTCGGAACTGGGAAAGAAATAACAAAGCCAATGAAACAACCACTACTCAAACTTCAGAGTTCAGAGTCAACCTTTAAAAGCTTTAGTAAGAATTAAAACATGGACAATCTAAACAAAATGAGTTACAACTTCTCTACAATATTCAAGTTAGATAGTTTCAATGATGAAACTATTGAATTACTTCAATGTGTTAACTCACACAAATGCATCACATAATGTACCAATGATAAAAGTGCTGGTTGAGCAGCAAGCCCGGAGAGTCACAACGACGAGATTTTACATTCTTCCCTAAAACAGCCACATAGGAATCTCACTCATGGTAGTCGAACCACCCCAGGAACTCACTGTCTTCGAATTTAACCCTAGACATTTCAAATCCCTTTATGCTTAAATCAACCCTCTCAAATAACTTCCATTTCAGAAAGCTGATATTCGGATGTGTTCAGTATGAAAATAAGGCATAATTAGCAACCAAAACATTTCACAAAACTACTTCCTTCGCTTATGTTAATCTCCAATACTTCATTTGAAATTGTTTCCAAATTTTAGATATAGAAACATTTCAACACGAAATTATGTTCCTTTATACCAAAACACACTCGAAATTCAATTGACATATGCCTTCTTCACTTCCCCAAATTCACAACCTCAAATAACATAATAATAAAAACTCAAAAAGCATAAATTCAAATAATACACAGAGATTATAAATAGATCACAGTAAGAGATAACTCACTTCATTTACTACCATCCAACTACATACATCAAAATCAAAATCTTTGACCCTTTTTGCCTCTATACCTCACTAGCTTAGAAAAAAAAATTTAAAAAGGCATCTTTTAGGGTTTATACTTACTGCGTAAACATTGAATACAGAATGATAAAGCTTAGATTTTTACCACAAAAAAGACAAAATCCAAATTTGGGGCTCATTAACTCTCTGTGTGCAAAAGCTAGAGAGGAAGTATACCTTGAGCGATGTAGGTTTTGGTAGAGAGAAGACTCAGAATTCGCTTCTGAATTTGCCGCGCCGCCATGGATTTTCTTAGAGTATTATTGATTGAGGTATAGTTTTAAGAGAGAAATCTCAAATTATTTGATTAATTAAATTTAATTGTATCATAATTCATTATGTACTATATTAAAACGAAAAGTATATGGTTATTAATGAAGCGTTGAGAGAGTGTTAAAAATACTTTTGAATTTGACGAGATTTAAGAAAGTATTTTATTTGAATAGTGCATTTGTAAATAAATGAAACTAATAATTTACGTGTGTTTTTGTCTTTTTTTTTTATAATTTTAATTGTTTATTTTGCAATTTTATAAGTTATTTAAGAAATAATATTTAAATAGCACTTTATCATTAAATATTTGTAATAGTTATTAATGTATACTTTAGAGTTGAGTTTTTTTTAAAATGAATATTTAATGGTGAAAATAAATAGAAAATGGTAAGTTTTTTTTTCAAATATTATAAAAAATTATAATTAAAAATAAAAAATTATTTTTTCGAATAAAAATGAAACGCAGGGAGAAAAAAAAAAGGAAAAGAGGCAAAAAAGTGTTCTTTGAAATATTGGAAATAAAATAAAAATGCATTAGGTTTGATAGAAGTTTATTAGAAATTAGTAATATTTTTAAAAAGAAAACATACATGTTTGATAAAATTTTAGTTATTTCTCCTTTTTACTATATTAATACTTTTTTACTACTTCTCTTTCGAGGTGGAGCAAACTTTCTCTTTCGACGTGGAACAAACGACTTCTACTTTTAAGTAAAAGTGAAGATCCTTTTACCTATTTCGCATTAACTCACCATTTAATAATTTGATTCAGAGGAATTCAAGAGTTCCTTTTACGCGCTACGCTATCATGTTCTGCTTCTTCGAAGGCAAACAATTATAGTTTAATTTGCTTAAATTTATATTTCAAAAATATCAACAAATGACATCAAAAGTAAGAAGTCCGTGCAACTTAACCTTTTATACCATGAAAAACTAGCAACACTAGAACTTTCAAGTGACATTTTGAAAAGATATTCCTCCAATATTGTTGGATAAATATTTTCAAACAAGTAGGTACAAATAAGAAATCATCTAAAAACTATACAAAACAGCTAAAAAGAACCAATGTTGATGAAAAATGTAATAACTAGTCCATATTTTACCTAAATGGAAGCTAAGAAAGATCAATATAGCAAGAAAAATGTGTTCTAAAACCATAGATGCAGGCAATTAGCAGTGCATATAGTTAAAATACAAAGCAATTTACTTATCTTACACAACATAATCGGGCACAGATCCGAGGCGTCTACGACTACAATCCCAGTGGCCAGTCCTATCCAAGTAGTGCTATCAACTTATAAAAAGTTCAAATTTCCTATTTGCAGTTAAAGCTTCTTATGTATATTATGATGAATTCGACAAAATAAATATACAGAGTTGGAGCTCTCCCAATTATATCGTGGCATATTAATTCAGAAGAAAAAACAAGCCATGGCATCCCTATATCATCTTCTTAAAACATAAGGAGGCTGTACCTATTTTAGATGGAGCCATACTTCAGCAGCTCCCATCTGAAGGGTCTGAACGAATAAAGAACCTCCGGTGAACTTTTGAATAGCAAAGCTACACAAACACATATAGCAGCAATTGCAACCATTGAAAGCATTGCCGGTTTGTATACAAGTGATGTTCCTGAGTTTCCATAAGATAATTTCTGCTTGCACTGTTTGCATTGTCGGTGAATTGGTTTCCCTAAAGACTTCTCAGTTTGAAAGCTAGTTACTTTTACTGACCTATGACCATCTGATAGTTTCTGCTTGAGATTGCTATCCAACAACGAACCAGGGATATCAAGAACAACATGTCCATCACCTGGTTTCTGATTGATTTTCTTCTGGACCATATGGACGTATGAGTAATGGCCTCGAAGGCATGCATAATCATTGGGTGTCAGTCCAGTACTGTCACGGGCACTTTTCCAAGCTTCAATTCCTACCTGAAGAAACAATCATAATTCGTCAGCTCCTTGAAAAACCTGCCTAACTCACTTCATTCCAAACGATGGAACCAGAAAATAAAACAAGGAAATATCTACAACATAGACATCCTTGTGTATATAAAATATACCAGAGTGCCTCTTATTCAGTAATTGAACATGTTGAGAATACATTAAGATTATAAAAGTGTGCTCTCTCTAATAGCTTAAGCTTTTAGATGAAAAGGTCACACTTCAACACGGCATCAAAAAGAATTTTTACGTGCTTGGCTCATGAAAAAGAATCACGGCCGCACTAGAGGGAACGTGTTGAGAATCTTACCACCACCCATTATTAAAAAGAATTTCCACAAGAATCAGCGCCGCACGTGAGTGGACGTGTTGAGAATACAATTGAATAATAAAAGTGTGCTCATTCTAATAGTTTAACCTTATAGATGAGATGGTCAAACATTTAAAAAGAACACTCATGACCATACAGAGACATATACTCAGAAAGCTAAAGCCTAAGAAAGAGCAGGTGCGGGAAAATACTCTTAACTGCAAAGTGTAGTCATAGTTTAGAAAAGAGAATACAGTTAAGTCCCTTATTCAGGGAAAGCAAGGATATCTTATGTACTAATAGGGGGTCATTTGGTTTACATGCTAGTTATGCAGGAATTATAATGTAGGAGTTGTTTGTACAGTATAGTAATAAATACATAATTACACGGTGGATAATAATGTAGGGATTGTAATATGATGAGTATTGATATCTGGAATGCTTTGTAAGGATTATCTACTCTAAAGGTATCTTTGTTTTCTTTGAACAGGTAAATAGTGATTATGTTGATACAGGAAAAATAGTCTAGCACTAAGTCCGAGCAAGCACAATTCACAGAGTTAGGAGTCATCCACAATTTAAGGGCATTTTTGTCTTCGTATTGCGAACAAGCGCATTCTTACTCCACATTCTAATCTCGTATAAAATAATACATAGATAATACTATTGCTTGATGCCTATTATTTAATATCATCAACTAAACACCGTGTTAGTTATTTAATACGTCTTTTTTATACAGCTAACCATATTCGTATTCCTATTCCCTTCTGGCTCTAATCAATCTACATATTTATAGTTGTACCAGTTTTCGTAATACCTCCAACCAAATGACCCCCAACTGCATGAGGGGTGTTTTTGCTCCTCAATTGTTAAGGCAATGATGATAAACCCAATTAGGTAACATCATACATCCTAATTAGCTAGTGAAGAGCATAAAAGGCCATGCATACTTCTTCTTAGAGGTTGAAACATACCAAAAGGTGCATCAAGCAGTGAATTTCGCAGCGGTTTCTTGGTTCAGGTGGTCAAGTCTCGCTACAGTTACCAAAGTACATATTGTCAGGGAGGGGCCACCCCGGATGGGAGTGCCAATATACCAACCCTGATAACAAGGAAAAGAGTGAAGGCTATTGCTGATCTTATCATGCTCCACAGTCCCACACACACACAAAACCACACCTCCTTTCGGTGGATTGAGAGGACTGTCTGTTTCCATTGCAAAAAAGCCAAATGCACATAATAGAAAAAGAAAAATATACCTCTCCTGGATCATCAATTAATGCATCCAAAATATTCTCATAGCCAGCAAGACTAGCAACAACATGAAGTGGAGTCAAACCCCCAGGACCCACTGTGTCAGGTCTAAATAAATAGCCACGATCATCTTGTTGAGTTTGTAGTCCTGATTTGTCAAAAGCTCCATGATGACGATATTTCAAGAGGACATCTATCATAGATCTGCACTTTCTCCTCACAGCTCGATGAAGGATGCCAACCTCCTGCAATGGAATGTCAAGCGATGACTGTTGTCCTACATCTACAACGCCATTGAAGAAGACATCCAACAGTTTCTTTACTACAGCACACCAGTCATGGTCAATGGAGAAATCTATAAGCCGATGGAATCTCTGAAAAGGGAAGAGATTCAAGCTGGCACCAGAACCCACTCTAAATTTCAAATGACATCTATGAAGCAGCCAACCCAGTTCATGTAAAAAGTCCAGCGCTTGGTCTCTGGCTTGAAATTCTTCAGTTCCTCGCAGAAAACCATCGTCCATTTTAGCAGCCTCAATAATGCTCTCCAATGTACGAATCTCAGAACAAACATCTTTCTCTGCAACTATAAATGGGAAGAAGTTGCTGCTAAGACCATGGTCCTCAATCTGTCAAAGATAATGAACCTACATTTCAGAAATAGAATAAAGTGTATCCAATATAGTCAATTTTATGCAGAAAAAGGAGATTGAGATATAACGTTTACTCAGACAATCTACTTTATCAGGTAACTACAGACGTGATCTGAAGTATGAACCAGAATCTGTGATCTTATGAAAAGCAACACATGGTAGTAACAGGGGGTCCAACCAAAAATGAGTATATAATAGTTTGCATGTTGCAATGAGGTAAAAACAAATAGATTTCCTTTTTCTTTTTTCCTGATAGGCAAATACATTCATATTTTATCAACCCAAGCCTAGGTTTACTGTGCACATAGAGACCAAAAGCTGATCCTTCTCCTTGAGTCTTCAATGAATTACGTATAACATAAAACTGAGAGTCATCAGCAAGCCAACGAGCATCAAATTCCATTCACAATAAACCGAACAGGATTGCTCCGGGATAGGGGGGAAAATAAGCATTAAGAAGAAAAAAAATCACCTCAATGAATCCTCTTCCAGTAGCATTTGGCACAGTACAAGGAAAACTAAGAGACTGGATCTCATTATAGTCCATACAAGAATCAGCTCCTACCATCACATCAGTACAATTCCCCTGAACTAGATATTTTCCTTCCATGGCACATAGAAACCTAAACGAGAGGTAGAGAAAAACCAAGAATCAATTAACTAGCTCAAGATACTCCAACCAGCTAAGCATAGAACAATAGGAAAAGGAGAATGCCTTTAGGATCATACGAATACCAAAGGTACCTTGTAGTGGGACGAGATAGGTTGAAGCCTTTGACCAAAAATTGAACTCTTTCAGAGGCACAAACTGCAATAGGTTTGATGATTGATATCCCACAGCTTCTATGGCTTGGCAAGGGAGTGTCCAGAACAACCTGCCCTGTGGTACAGAAACAAAGACTTGATGTTCATATCAGATGTGCAAC